AGTTTATTTTTGGAAATATAACAATTGGAGCGCTAGTCGGCTTACTATCAATCCAACATCACAATAACTACAAGCGAACCCTTTAGATGGTACAAACAAGAGCGCAGCAATAAGAAACTTTTACAGAAGAAACACAACAGTTAGATGATATTAAAATTGAATAAAACATACATCAATCAATTACAAAAAGCAAATTTAATTATTTATCGTGCATCATTATGGCAAAGAAAATGTATTAACAGTGTTTATACGACTTTCTCTGCCATAATGAATTGTGATACACGATAAATAATTAAATTTGCTTTTTGTAATTGATTGATGTATGTTTTATTCGATTTTAATATCATCTAACTGTTGTGTTTCTTCTGTAAAAGTTTCTTATTGCTGCGCTCTTGTTTGTACCATATAAAGGGTTCGCTTGTAGTTATTGTGATGTTGGATTGACAGTAAGCCGATCACCCACTAAAAATAATAATCAAAATTCATGCAGGATCTCAGAAGGGTTTACGCAGGATCCTCGCGGGTCGTCTATATTAAAATATCTCGTCCACGCATGTATATTGTGTTGTCCTTTCTGTAGCAGGTCTCTAACTGTCTGTATTTCATTCACAAAAAATTCAAATCTTCGTACCATTTTGTTGCTCAAAAAATTTAAAAAATCCTTTGAGAAGCCCGTACTCATCGAAGGGAAGCAGTTGCCCGTTCATGCACGTCCGTGTGTCTTTCAAGTCTGCTCGTGCCCGTCCGTGTATTTTTCGAGCCAACCCGTGCCCGTCCATACCCATGTGCGGTACGGGCACGCCCGCAGCCGCGGGAATTTCCATGCCCGTGCAGATCTCTAGTTTTAAGTCGTAAGTTAACAGAATATGAAATAAATTCACAGTGTGCGCTCTTTTATCTCGTTTATTATTGATCTGATGATAAGTTCAATGAAAATCACTTGACGGTAGGAGCAACTGCTGAATCGTTTCAGAGAAAACTCTGTATTTTCTTTTTGTTCTTCTCCTGTTTCGACAGACCTAAAAGATGGCTGCAGCTTAAATTAAGATATTCTGGAAATTCCTGATCTCATAATAGTGATGAATTGCTAGCGGCAGTGGTTGTAGTATCAAGTACATAGTATTATGGAACAATTCCTCATCAGACTCATCAGTTTCATAGTAGAGATACGGAATCCGACCCGATCCGAAGATTGGGTAGGAAGTTGTCGGGTACGGGGTCAGGTATGGATAGAGCAGCTACGAGTTCGGGTTCCATTTTCTTCTAGTTCATAATTCAAAAATTCTTCTGCATTTGTTGGTTTTTTCATACGCACTTCGAATTGTAAACTACTTTTCATTTTGTTATATCACTGATAGTCTTATCAGCTTCTTTACATAATTTCATAATTTCTGTATAATAACTTCTCACTGATTGATTATGTGTTTGTGTATATATTTCTAGATTACTGAACGCAATATCAGCGGAGAGAGAAGAAGTAAAAGCCTTTTGAATTAATTCTAATTATCCCATGAAGTGAAATGTTTCTTATTTCCATTATAAGATACAGGAGCTTCACCTTTCAATTGATATTAATAATATTTCATTTATTATCATCCGGAATGTGTGTTATATCGAATGTATTTATAATTCTTCAAGCCATTTCTTCACGTCGTTATTTCCTCCACGGACATTTTCGGCCTTTTTGCCAAATTCTTCAATAATGCTCTACGTAGATCAATTGTTTTCTGTTAAAGTTGTAGTCAAACAAATGCTCAAAGATGAAATATGTGTTGGTGGAATGGTGATTGAAGTGGGTTCGGTATAAACTTAACAGTTGTCAACGTTGTTGCTGGTCGAGAATCAGGCATTTTGCATAAATGTTGAATTATCTTTATCAGATTCAAAAGAATTAATTCATAAAAATCGTCGAAAGATTCTTTATATGTTTACGATTTCTTATGTACGAATGTTTTGCTTCCTCAGATTACTCTCCGTTACAGAATGTTTAGGTTTCATCTGGAAAGATACTACCCCCCATCATAAGGAGACAAAAGCTTTTCAAAATGAAGTGTTAAAAACTATTTTACATACCAAGAACCCAATTTGAAAATGTGTGATTACCACTAGAGACACGTACAAAGCAGAAAACGTGATCTCAGGATTACGCATACGGATAAACTGAGTCAATGGTTCTTAGCAACCATTCTATGTCAGTCATAGCCTATCCTGCTGAATAGATGGTCGCGGATTTCGCTGGTTTTTACATATATAGTAGTGGTAAGTATTTGATGAATTTTCACGCAAACAGATGAAAATATATTGTTCCTTGGCGGAGATATTTTATTTTTCCCGCAAGCCCTAAACAAAGAATTAGAATTTATTAAGTCATCTTTGCAACATATATATCTCAAGAGCACATGTGTTTGATATGAAATTTTTCTGTGAGTAGCAGTGGCGTATGCAGGATTGTTCACTATTGGGCAAGCTCTCAGAAAACAAGCTTTGAGAGTTTGGCATTTGCGGACAAAGTAAAAAGCAATTGGGTACATTGTTTTACAAACGGTCGGAAGAAGGTAGAGAACACTTGACTGCATATATCCTGATTTGTTTTCGCAGAGCCGATAAGTATTCACGGAGTTAGAAATTAATTAAGATAAAATTTTAGCAAAAAATTTAATTTGCTAGGAATATTTTTAAAATCAAGCTAATTATACCAACGCCATTCTAGTGTACTTAGATAGAGAATCATTTTTAGTTATGATTACATTTAAGATATTTCAGAGAAAGCCGTACTAGGATATAGATTAATAAGTAATTAATCCTGATTAACATCAGTTATAAACATGTTCATGGACTGCCATTCGGCGATTCACATTTTTATTTGCAGCGAATTGAACAACACATGATTTCATTATGTGAATACTCGATTTGAACGGAAATCAAATTGGACACTAAACACGTTATCTTTTAAAATTTTCTTATATAAAGTAAAATATAATTAATAATTTTTATCCAAATAAACCAAGAGTATCAAATCGAAGAGTACC